TCGTTATCCCCTCCACTTGGGGGATCCCCCTAAGCCGACCGAGCCACTCGGCGAGGAAACCGTGTAATATGATCCGACCGTAATATCGGTGTGACTAATACTAATTGCACGACAAAACTTTTTTATTTTTAACTTTTTCTTAATGAAACTTTTACTAACGCATTTGTGAGATTTTTCTGATTAAAATGGTACCAAACACGATATAGTTTGAATTATATTTATAAACAATACTAATAGAATCAACGACATAGAATTGACATCTCGGCTACATATGTATAAGGCAGGCCGTACACCAAAGATGCATCAAACACGCAACATGCAACATGCAACACGTCGCATGTTGTATACGAACGTAGAATAGGTATCGCGGCACGGTACAAACGATTTGTACGGACGCAGAATCGACACCAAGACTGGATATATGCAACGTTTAAATGCCCAGAATCGATACCTCGGCTGGATATATGCAACGTTTAAATGCCCAGAATCGACACCTCGGCTGGATATATGCAACGTTTGAAACCCGAGCCGACACCCCAACCGGTTTTCATTTCCAATCCTCCTTTGCTTTTCGCCAACTTTTAACATTAATTTTAGCAAGTAATTATAATTCAAACTATATCGTGTTTGGTATCATTATAATCCGAAAAATGTCACCAATGCGTTAGTAAAAGTTTCAGAAAAAAAAGGTCAAAAATAAAAAAGTTTTATAGTTGAATTAGTATTAGTCACACCAATACGTTTCGGCTCTTTCCTTTGATCATCGGACCTCTCTCTTTCCACCACTATCTGTCCTTCTCTACGTTCACGTTTGGCTGCTCGTCGCGTGTAACCCGAGATTAGACACCTCGACTGGATATATGCAACGTCTGGGACCCAATGGTTGTTGCATATATCCAGCTTTTATTGTACTCGTTTACGCGAAAGATTTAAATCAACACGGTAAAAAGGGTCGACGCCTATTTACACGCCTAGCCGATGCCGGTTTAACGTTGCAACCCGATAAATGCGAATTTCTTAAGACCGAAGTCGCGTATTTAGGACATTTAATTAGCAAGCGTGGAGTCCGTCCTGATCCTAAAAAGATCGTTGCTGTTAAGAATTTTCCGCGGCTGAAGAACGCGAAAAACATTAGACAATTCTTAAGTTTGGCGGGATACTATAGACGTTTTATTGAAAATTTTGCGGAAAAATCAAAACCTCTCTCGGATTTGCTAAAAAAGAACGTTCCTTTCGTTTGGGGGAAGGAGCAGAAAAAGAGTTTCGCCGCGTTACGAAGAGCACTGTGTCGTGCACCGATTTTACAATATCCGGATTTCGATAAGCTATTCACATTAACGACCGATGCTTCAGATTTTACAATAGGAGCCGTTTTGAGTCAGGAGAAAGATGGACATGATTTGCCGGTAGCATACCTTTCTCGCACGTTAACTAAGCCGGAACGGAACTATTTTACAACCGAAAAGGAATGTTTAGCCGTTTTATATGCGGTATTGCATTTTTGACCATATTTGTACGGTAGAAAATTCAAGTTAGTGAGTGACCATGAGCCGTTGAGGTGGATAAATTCAATTCAGGATCCCGGTCAACGTTTAGTACGTTGGAGATTGAAGTTACAGGATTACGAGTACGATTTCGCGCACAAGCCAGGGAAATTCAATACTAACGCCGATGCCCTGTCGCGAAACCCAATTGTTATCGACGAATTAAACACCTCGGACGACTTCTCACTAGATTCCTCTTCTGATGAGGAACAGCCTGCGAGCCCAATCGGCTTGGAAAAATCCCCTCAGGTTGTTCCCCGTATGGAGAAGCCTGATCCACCTTCGGTTATTAAAACGATTAAGAGATTCCTACGTACGAGCGCGCTTGTCAAATCAAACAATGCGCGTCGTGCTGCGAACCCCAAGGTCGTTTTGCCGGTTACGGATACACCCGAAACATCCGGTTCCGAATTAGAACCTGCGATAACTAAACGTAAGGTAGGAAGACCATTAGGATCGAGAACAAAACCGAGACCTCCACCTACTCACGATCCAGAATCCATCTCCACTCGAACTCGGCTTAGATCCTTTAACAAACTAACTTCTCAATCTTCATTGACTACACCCCTTTTATCACAAAAACCTGCTATCATAATTACATCGAATACTTCAACAGACATAACTACAGACAGTAATATTTCCGATACCGATTCAGATGCGTCCGAACCACCGATCTTCGTTCGTCGTAGGAGCGTCCTACCGAGCCTGGGGTCATGTCCGCGTGCACTGGGAGTACCCCAGACCTCAGAACTCGAGCCGGACCTCGCCAATGTTGACTCCGATAAAGAACTCTTTAAAACACCCTATTCGGATAGCGACCATGAATTTTTCGATTTTTCCCCTGAAGAAGGAGGATTAGAAGAAACACAAGTCGCTAAGAATTTAGACACGGAGACCGACGTTGACGATTTACACAACCATCTAGACGACTTGACGCGACGGACACACGACGTTACACAAGACACTATAGTATACAGACCTCAATACCAATCACATTTACCTGCTATACCTCCATCTCTACCACCCATAGCTTTATCTACACCACGAAATAAGACAGTTCTAGAATCAAATCCTCAAACACAGAACGAAAATACGTTGATACATACCGACGTGCTACCACAACCATCTTTCGCAAATACACTTATAGATTCCGAGGATCCATAATCTGATCCGCCTCCAAAGATAGAGGTTCCGAAAACGGTAACTTTCGCGTCAGAAAACTTGACATATTATAGAGACAATTACGTGCATTTTCTTACGAGTGACTTACGATTGACACCGATTAGTGAGCTACTCGTTGATATCGGTATCATAGATCTGGAAACGTTGCGAAAATCAAGTTTAAAACCGGGAAATATCATCGTAACGGACCGCGGTAAAAATAAAATCTTCAGCGTCGTGATAGGAAAGAACTTCAACGACGAATTGACAATCACGAAATTAGAATCAGTTTTACGGAAACTCAAGCAAAAGTTGTCCGAGCTGGATTTAAATTCTTTCCGGATCTCGCGATTTGATGATTTTACTGATACGTTACCGCAGGACGCGTTACCCGGGTTGTTGAGAAAGATTTTCAAAGACGCCAACGTAAAGGTCACCCTTTGTTACGGTCGCGTGCAATTACCACCCAGCGAAATTAGAAATGAAATTATCGCAGGAATGCACGGGAGCCTCGTGGGAGGACACAAAGGTGTGACAAAGACCTATCAACGGATACGCGAACGATTTTTCTGGCCGAATATGCGTAGCCAGATAGAAGATTACATTCGTAAATGCACAAGCAGTCAGACGCGAAAGATATCGAGACAGAAAACGCGCGAACCTATGGTTATCACGGATACACCCGTGGAACCCTTTGCGAAGGTAGCAATAGACACCGTCGGACCGCTTCCGATTACACCTGATGGAAACAGGCATATATTAACGATGCAAGATAGTCTCACGAAATTCTGTATAGCAGTTCCGGTTCCCAACATTAAAGCGGAAACAATAGCTCACGCGTTGGTAACGCATCTCGTTTTACAATTCGGTACTCCTAAGGTTATTCTCTCGGATAGAGGTACCAGCTTCTTAAATAAAATCTTTTCTACCATGGCAAAGATGTTTGGTATACAACACGTTACTACATCCGGTTACCGTCCGCAAATTAACGGTGCCCTAGAACGTAGCCATGCCGTATTGGTTGATTATATCACGCATTACCTTGAAGATTTCGACGATTGGGACAGACTAGTTCCCTTCGCGATATTCGCGTACAACACCTCCGTGCACGAGGGTACAAAATTTACCCCGTTCGAATTAATCTACGGGAAACGTGCACGATGCCCTACCGCATTTTCCGCTAACGACGATCTTCCGACTTATGACGGTTACATACAAGATCTCAATGATCGATTGAACGAAATGCAGGAGATTGCGGGAAATAATCTGAATCCCGCGAAAATCAGGTCGAAGTTGTATTATGACGCGAGAGCGCGTCCATTTAAAGGTAAAATAGGAGACATGGCATACGTGCTGGTCGAGCCAAGAGTAGGGAAGTTTGGCAAACGGTATCACGGTCCCTACGAAATAGCGGAAATTACACCAAAACATAACGTCGTATTAAAGGATGAAATGGGTAACCTCTTTTCCAGGCATGTAGACAAACTGAAATTCTGGAAGGCGGGAAAGACTCGATTACAATGCACAGTCAGCCTTTTTACTCGCGAATTAGAACCAGATAATTCGACGAAGAGGCAATTGAGATTCTGTGGAAGGGTCGACTGGCGCATTGCGTTTCTTTGTATATTCTCTTCGCAGGAGCGGACTGAACGACTAATTTTTCCAGCATTTATTGAAAGTTCTATGTAGTTTCGCAAATGTTACCTATGTATTCTGCGTCCCCTTTAGACCTGCTACAGCGATGGCAACGTACCGAGCAAAGAAGGAAGATAACAGGGGAAGGCGAGTCTTTGTGGCCAATTTGGCCCCATTTACCAGGAATAAGCTCCTGATAAAGGTGTTTGGCGAATTTCATCCGGAACATGCAGCCATCATACGCAAGCCATCGGGCACGATTGCGTTCGTGACCTTCCCGTCTGCTGAACTAGCTGCTGCAGCCATCCGTTGGGCCAAGGACACCAGCCCTACGCTTCATAAGCGCAAGCTGACGGTCAAGGAGGCTGACCCGTGGCATGAGGACAACTTAATTCAACCGAGGCCACGAGTTGATCGGTTCCAAGGGTGGGAACGCGCCTATTCACCCCCTTTGCCGGTCGAAGTAATCGCGAAAATCGCACGTTTACTGCGCTTCGCTGATCGCGCGCGCGCATGGAGTGCGTTTGTCGTACTTGGAGAGAAGGCGCCCTAGCCTCCTACACCACCAGGAGGGAACTCAACTCCGAGGAGTGGGCCTGGCCGGACCACTGGCACGGAAAGGCTATTTCGACCGAGTCATTCTACTGGGCGGTGCGAAGCATGGGGCCTTACGTGACCACCCTGCGGCTGAAAGATCGTGCCATCACAGGAAACCTGCGGCCACAAGCTCTAACGATCGCTGTTCGGGGTTGCCCGTTCCTTAGTAATATCGACTTATCCGGTGCGACGATCCGTCCTCCCGCGATTCGCGATTTAACGCCGACTGCGGGTACTCTCCGAACATTATCGTTGGGACACTGTCAAGGGCACTTGGACCCGGAGTTGGCTCGGTTGTTCGGGGCGGCGACGCAGCTCCTGGACTTCGAGGCAACCGCCACGGAGTTCCAGGGGAAGTCGCTGCGTCGAATAGCTCCGTCACTCCGGACCTTGCGCCTGTGGCAGTGCCCTTCTGTACTAGCCGAACCATTGTCTGATACGCTAAAGGGACTCCTCTCACTCGTCAACCTCGAGCTGACTCACTGCGACGGTCTAACATCAGATCAGCCCCTCCAGCAACTGATTGCGAATCGAAATTTGCACCGAACCTTGGAAGACCTACGTATTACGGGAGTGAGCTTTGACCCAATAATGTTGGATCCTGAATTGGCAGATGTAGAGGTTCCAGAGGATCTACAGGCTCCCTACGTGGAATTGAACATCGGGCCGGCCAACGCGGGGACCTCACTGGCGGAGGCCTTCACGCAATTGCATACCTTGCATTTGCGATTCTGTGGATGGGTATCTAATTCTCTAGTGATACAAGTTGGAGAGCATTCCAAGACCTTAGAATACCTGGACATCTCGGGCTGCTCAAACGTTCGAGGGCAGTTCGCCCTGGAGCCTTTGGCAGCCTTACCGCGCCTGAAAGAATTACATTTATGCAATCTTCACCCCTCGGTGGGGATTCAGGCATTGGGATCCGTGACCACCCTGGAGGAAGTCCAGTGTCGGGACTCGGCGGGGGTAACCGACGAGGATGTTTGCCAAATAATAGAAGGATGCCCACTCTTATCAAGATTCAACGTGGAGGGATGTCAGGGCGTAACCCAGCAGTCTGTCGTTGGAGCGACGGACATTGTCCGGCGGCGAGGAGGTACGAGAGTGCTAAGCTTGTGGGTTGGCGAGACGGGAGCGAATCGCTTCGCAAGAGTAAGGCCATCTCTCTTGTTTCGGGTCTATTTCGATCGCGCTTATCAGCCGATATTAGCGCAAGCGCGGGAGGGCGGACGCGTCGCGACCGGGGGCCACCACGCGTACGCACCGCCACATCGCCGGGGGCGGCAATGATTCTGGGGGGGGGGGGGGGGGGGTATTGTTACGTCCGGGTTCATTTTTCATTAACCCGACCTTGTGTTCCTCATCGGGTGCGCTGCATCTGGAAACTTTCCACGTGAGGGGCGCAAGGAAGGGCATTTCTTATCTTACTTTTCCTCGTTTACCTGTTCGCGCTCCTCCGATCTTGTGTTCTTCCGTCGGTTGCGTGTGCACTTGGAAGTGATTCCTCACGGAGAACACAAGAAAGGAGTTTGAGATTAAAATTATAATTCTCCTTTTTCCTTTTCTCTTATTAGTTTCAATAGTTTAACCGTCAATATACCAAGTTTGTGCACCTCGCTAGTGCGAAGCACTTGGAGATAATCCCAGGCGAGGCACACAAAGGAGGCTATATTTAGTTCTTTCAAATAATACAAGTCAACCTTTCCTTGGGATGATTGCCTTGTCGAAACTACGCAGCGACAAAAACTTCGAAAGTCGAAACCGTTTAGGGAGAGGTACCATAAACATCCTTCGCCGCGCGGTTAAGCAGTGCGACGCACTTGGAAATTTCCCAACTTAACCGTGCAACATAAAGAAGAATTTTCTTCTATTTTATGAGCGAGGTACCTCTCATACCTGCAAAGCACGCGTCAGCCGACCCTTCCACGAGGAGCGCGTGTGATTAAGAACAAAGCGATTGGAATTTAATGGAATGAAACTGTTTGAATGATATTAGAATACGAGGGTTTGCGTGACAACCACTGTAGTTCGAAATCGTTCACGAATGTTCGAGACAAAGGTCGACCGAGTCTATAAACATCGCCGTTAAACGCTAAACGTAGAACGTTTCGAATATACGTAAATCGTCGAAATACGAATAAGAACGTTAATAACTAATAAGCGCGGAACGAATATTAACTAAATGCAACACGCATGTATCCGCAATTTGACGACGATTATAAAACACCGGTTGCATCTTGCGCAAACCGCTAAACAAAGAGATTAACAGAATAATTAACGAATGAATAATAATTAACATTATTCAACTAATGGTCATTCAAAACAGTAAAACAAATATTTGTAATAAAACGAAGACCTCTTTCGGTACCGGAAACGTCATTGTAAAAGCCTCTTTAATTAGCAAATTCGAATAAATTAAGTCGTAATAGATTTCGAATATTCCAGAAACTTTAGAATTGCGACGCATGAAATCCGCCGTAGCGTTAGAGAAGTAGAAAGAAATGGACAACCTTAGACGAAGGTAGAAAGAAAAGTCAAGAAGGGATGAGAGAACTAGGAAGAGCGGCCAACTAGCCCAATACGCGCGGGATTTCCCCTCCGACACGTACCCTGATTTGCCACATAATGTCCTCACTTTGGGCCCATGATCGTGGGTCGAACTCTGAGACACGATCGCTTGACTGAGGCAAATCACTTTTCGTCGAAAAATCGCAAGGTGCGTGACGGGGAGCCCATGTTCGCGTAGAGATAGAGTTGTTAGTAAAATCGCGTAATTAGATTGCTCGGCAAGTCCTCATCAAGGCAGAGTGTCGAGAGTGTTTCGGTTCGCGGTTTTGTGACAAGGACTCATACGGATACATTAAATTCATTTTACACTTTTCAATTTCTATCTTTTCTCTTTCGTTTTTATATCGTTCGTATATTAATTATTTTTAAGTCGATTTTGCAAATAGTTTTGTATTCGTTTTTGTAATCAATCGTCCCGTAACACCGAAATAAAAGGCCGATCGTGAACGCGTAGTGCAAGTGGCAGTTTTCTCACCTCTTCTTTGACTTCCAGATTTCTAGACGACACCAGCGACTAACCATACAAATCAAAGTCTTATCATATATTATTTTACATGGATCTTGGTAAGTTGTCCATTTCATTTTTATCCAATACGACGAATCTGGACGTGGTGAGGCAAAACGGGCGATCTACGAAACCGTGTATTCTGGAAAGTTTCCCTCTAGATCGTTCCGTTCAGTATAGAGACTCAAGGTATCGAAAATTAACGTTATTGAATAAATTCCGATTCCACGCAAAGAAGGCGGCCCCACGAAACCGTAGCTCTGGTAATTTACCCTCTGGGACCGTTCTTCCTTTCTTTTTCGCGCTTAATTCTTCGCAGAATATCGTCACTCGAATCATCGAATCAATCAATCAAACTTTTATTAACCAGTAATCAATAGCTTCATTTTCATATAATTTAAACTTTTCTTTATAATATATTTATTTTCTCCTATATTTCAAACAGCTCGTACTTTCTGTTAACCAACCATCTTTAATGTCACGTTTATTTTTCTGAAATTATGTTTTTGTTACACCTAACCTGTTTTAATTCATTTACGTTTCGAAACACTTCCTTTCCTTCATTTTCACGCCTACCATCTTCGCACAAATTCACACGAGGGGCCCGTATGGGACTAGAGCATTGACGAACCCGATTAATCTTTCAATTAATCTATTAATTTATTTAGCAACTCTTTTACTGTTCTAATCGTGAGTGATCCAACATCGTCACGAGCGATTAGGACTGGTGGCAGCGAAAACCGTTCTCAACCGCGTATCAACCATCATTAATTTTCCTAATAATTTTCTTTTTTTTTTATTTTGTACGTCGCGCGCCGTATCTTGCTCGCGACGTAACAAAATACTGCACAATATGTGATATAGCGGAACGAAAAGCTACATCCCCAAAACATCATAAATGTTATAAAAACTATGATCGTTATGCCAGTTCTAGTAGCATGGAAAGTGATGCTATTGCTGAAGGTTTCAAATGCAGCATTGAAATGCATGGCTTAATATATAGAACGGTTGTTGCCGATGGTGACAGCAACGTCTATCATACTATTGTGAACGATCTGATGAAAGGGCCCGTATGGGATTAGCGTATCTCCGAACTCACAACATTTTCAGCCCCAATAGTGATAGAAAATGTTAGGGTACATTTTCTGGCTTTACGGCGACACACGCGCGATACGTTACCGTTAATCACATCGCTAGATTATCACACTACCACACTACATACTTTTACGCTCACGCAACAGCTCACGCAAATCCTGAGCCAGATGGTGGTATGTCTTGTCGATGCCAAGCTGTCCGGATTGGTACCGTAAGGTGAATTGTGGTCGTCGGAAAGGGCCCGGTTCCGGAGAGAAGTAGGAAGGACTAATTTCCATCCGTCAAGGTCAGGGACTATAGGATCAATGAGGCAATTGGGGCGGTAGTAGTAAAATCGGTCGTCTTCTATTCTCTAGTCGGGATATTTGTTGGGGAAGTCCAACTGCTCAAACTAGCAGTCTCATTTGAAGTTGGAAAAGAAGACCAATAACGTTGTGAAAACGTTACGAAGTAGTGCGAAATATTACATGTTTTTCATTTGTGTCCAGTGCAATAGCAACGTGTCAGTGAATAAACACGTTTATCTAGTTGAAAGAATCGGACCCTTTCGGACCACGTTGTGAAATTCTGTGAAAGGTGATAGTGACCGTGTGGTTGAATGAGTGTGTAATATGTACCGAAAATCGCGATAAAAATGGGAAAGGGGTGGTTCTCCATGCAGAAGTAAATCAGAAATATATTTAGAATGTCAATTTTTAATTATTGATTCAGTCAATTCTCAATTATAAATTTAAGACTGCCCTCCCATTGAATCGACTAAGAAGCAACATCAAGCACGTGTGCACCTGAAGGGCAACGTATGTAACTGATCTACTAGTATTTTTGAACAATGTCATGACTTGCAGAAATACCGTGATTTGGCTCTTATTATTCTTATTACGTCCACTACACTATTCAAACAAAATTAAAGGATGTGATAAAAAAATGTTCCATCTGACTTTTTGTAACTTTATAATAAAAAGTGGTACATAATTCTATCTGGATTCATCTTAAAATGAGAGGGGGGAAAAGTTGCCTCTGTGAACACCGGGTCTTGCTAGGTTGCCAGGCCATTCGGCTGTATTTTCTCTTACACAAAAATTACTCGTTCACCGATGGGCCCTCCGGTTCATCCAGCTCGACAAACGTTAACTCAAGAAATTAAACATATTTCTTTTCCAAATTTTTACAAATTGGAATGTCGCTATGGACATTAAAAAATTTCTTTCTACAGTGAGTGCACCATGAATTAAAAGATTGCACTGTCTCGTTTAAAATGACCCCTGAAAAGCTGCGGCACGATCTTTTATCTAAGTTTGAATGAAAAGCGCGTCAGCAGTGTTACAACAACCCCAGGTACACCAGCAAAAGCTTACATAACCGCCTTGTATCTTTGTGTCTCCACATATGTAATACCACCACGATGTCTTATTATTTCTCGGCATCGTTAATGCATGCTGATGCATTGTCTCATTGATTCTTGCACTTTTCAATCACCGCAGTGTCATAAGAGTTCTTTAGGGACTCCTCAATGTTGGATCTAACAGATCCCATACATGCTTGATCGGATTAACATCGGTATTTACCCCTGGGTGGTAACTATGCGACTGAAGAAAGTGTGTTAAACAGTGCAACCAGCTTGTAATGTACCTTGGGGTTAATTTGATGTCGACGGCACATGTTTCGATCGAAGCAGCTTTCAGGAATCATTTTAAAGGTGTCACTACAATCTTCAAATTTATGATGAATTGATTCTTAAAATTTCTTAATGTCCATAGCACTGTTTCAATTTTTAACAATTTGGGAAACAAACGGTATGTTTAATTTCTCAGATGTTACATAAATTGACAAATTGATTAAATTGAAAAAATAGAAGCATCACATGCTATATGGATTTTTATCATATAGCTACAAGGAATCAAATATCGGCAATTTTTTGATTACAATTTAATGATCCTTTGTGTGCAATCAGTTGGATAGTACTTAATTTGGCACAGATCGGAAAACACGTTCATAAAATTAGTTTAAAAGGTCATTCTACTTCAATATCAGAAAAATTGAGCTACTTTTCGCCATTTATTCTGAAAAAAATGAACTGTTTTGGTTTTTATTAGACTGCTCTTATATAATTAATCTTTTTAGTTGCTTCAGACAGAACATTCTTAATGGTGTTGCAATTGCACCTCAAAAAAATATCTGTATCCATGGTGAGAGCCATACACCGTAGAGAATTTCTGTAAGGAGGCTTATTAGAAACAAAAAATGTTTTCTTAGTTTTAAGCAACTAAAAAGGTTATTTAAAAAATGCTATTACATTATATAAGAGCAGTGTAATAAATGGTGAAAAATCTATTTCGTTGTATGAGGTATTTGTTTAGAAAAAAGCTGCATTAAATAGCTTAATTTTTAGATGTCGAAGTAGAACGATCCGTTAATTGACGATGAGTAAATGGATCATTAAAGCTTGACGTAGTAATTCAATCTATACCAAGTCGTGACATTGTTTAAAAATACAAATCTGTGACTTGGTGCAAGAAATACTAATGTCAGTTTTTATAAAGTTGAAATATTAGCACTTAAAGATACGTAAAACAATTTACGCTCAACTAATTGTTTACAGACTGAATATCGGTTATTTCGTCATTTATGCAAAAATATTACATTTGCACTTCTTGTAAAAGGCCATAAAAATACACCATCCGAGTATGAGGAAACCCATTCAATCAACTCTCAGCATCTTTCGGATGTTCACGCTCCTGCCGGAGCTTCGCAGCTGATTCTCTGAAGATCACAACCCTGTATCAGAAATTGTCACTTTACTATGTAAGTTTACATCCTCGACTCATCTATGCATGAAAAATCACTCCATTCTTGTTTGTACCACAATTCTCGGCCCACTCTGTATATAAATGATGTATGTACTGTAACGTGATGCCACGAGTGCCCCCCTCCTCCCACCTCACGTTTATCCAAGAAAATTGATTAACCCCACAATGATATATGAAGTATATGAAGAAAACGTAAGTGAAGAGATTCAGAGTATCGAAGAAATTATAGAGGAAGTAGATTTCGATGCCGAAGAAAATCAAATAAGTAACAACAATGAAGGCGAAGAAACAATTAAATCAGTGTCGAAAGGTAATGAGCTGATAGTGAGCGATGAAATACCTTCCGTAGAAGACCCGAACGAAGAAACGAATGAAGATGTTGCAAGTTACAACAGCGACTGGGTGATAGAAAAGGGGGAACCACAACAGTTGGAAGCGCAAATGTCAAAAGGAATAGTTTTTGTTGACTTTGCACGGGTTTTTGAAGAAATTAAAAATCTTGCAACACATTCGACTATTGGATGTGCCATCGAACATTTTGACATAGTTGGATGTCAACAATACGGATTGGAAAAAGTGTACCATGTACAGTGCCGAATGTGCAATTACATAGAGCGCATACCCTGTCTTCGACAGAACGATGGCATTATGGACATCAACCACGCCGCTGTTTCCGCAACAATGGTGACGCGCGATGGATATAATCAACTAGAAGCATTAATGTCTGCTGTAAATGTGTCCTGTATGATGAAAAGAATTCACGAAAAAAGTCAGAATGACATAATAGATGCCTTCGAAGTGGCCGCACAACGCGAAATGGACGGTACTGGAAAAGAAGAAAGGGAATTAGCTATAACAAGAGGCGACATACATCCTGAATCTAATATGCCATGGATCGCAGTTGTCGCAGATGACAACTGGATGAAAAGATCATACTGCGGAGGAGATTACAATTCTCTTTCTGGCGTAGGAGCCATCGTGGGATATCACACGAAGGAAGTGCAGTGTATGGTTCGTGGAAGAGCAATTAAAAAGAAAGAAGAAGCTGGAGTCGTCAGCTAAGTTCAACCGGTACGGAAAGTGCTGCTATCATCGAAAGATTCAAATGCGGTATAGAAATGCACGGCCTAGTATACACTCTATATTAGTGGCCAATGGCGATATCTGTGTATTCAAGAAGATATTGGACAATAATCCATATGAAAAGTATAGGGTGCATGTTCGAAAAATAGAATGCACCAATCATCTACTACAGCATTTCAGTAGAAAAATAAACAACATCGTAACAAAAGGCCGTGTTACGTCCGGAAAATTTTGCAAATTTGTCCACCTCACGTTCCCTTATCAAGCCTTCGGGTTGTAAGAGTCTCTTCAGGTAGGAAACACACAGAGAAGAGTTTGAACTTATGATTATTCTATTTTTGTCTTTTCTTTTCGTTAGTTCACTCTTGAATTTCTCAATTCTTTTCTTTAGTTTATTACCCCTCCATGAAACTATCGTTGTGCTCAACTGCGTAGTAATAGAAGCCATGTTACAAAAACTCGGTTTCGACCGGGAGAGGCATCGTAAACAGCGTTCGCTGCGCAGTTAACCAGTGCTTCGCATTACAGTAAAAGCTGGATATATGCAACAAACATTGGGACCCAGACGTTGCATATATCTAGCCGAGATGTCGATTCTGGGCATTTAAACGTTGCATATATCCAGTCTTGGTGTCGATTCTGCGTCCGTACAAAGCGTTTGTACCGTGCCGCGATACCTATTCTACGTTCGTACAAATCGTTTGTACCGTGCCGCGATACCTATTCTACGTTCGTACACAACATGCGACGTGTTGCATGTTGCATGTTGCGTGTTTGATGTATCTTTGGTGTACGGCCCGCCTTATACATATGTAGCCGAGGTGTCAATTCTATATTGTTTATTTTATTATTATTGTTTATTTATTCTATTATCATTCTGTTATTACTGTTAGCTTGTAAATTACTTTAATTTTCAATAGGAAGAAACTGTCCGGTTTCATGGAAATCACGGGCTGTTGCTAAAATCATAAAGCACCTAATTTGCGGTCAATAGTTCCGCTACTTAGAAATATTCTGAACTGAACCGTGGCAACAATAAGTTTATGAAGCCATCGACCAGTTTAGTACTTTGCCAGAAATATTTTCATGTTGATTGT